GAAGTAAAGAAATAGAAGTAATGTAGAGAAGAATAATATAAGTGAAGGAGGTATGGAGTGTATCTAGTATAGACAATAAAGACAATAAAGACAATAAAGACAATAAAGACAATAAAGACAATAAAGACAATAAAGACAATAAAGATAATAAATATAATAAAGACAATATAAATAATATAAATAATATAAATAATATAGATAATATAGATATAATAAATGATAAGAATATAATATATAATAATATATAAACATATATAGATAGAGAATATAAAATAAAAAAACTAAAAGAAATAGAATATAATATAATAATAAAAGAAATAGTTCCAATACTATCAATCATATCAACTTGACATCCTTTTCAACCCAGGTCTATCATTCGTAGACAGGTTTTCGTTGCTCCGTTAACCGGCCTCACGCTGTACCCTGTTCGTTACCTTCCGCACTAAATCTACCTACGTAAATTAAGTAATGAAGTACGAAGATATGGGATGGGGTAGTCTCAAATGTTCATAATTATGATAGGATCAATTCTATTTTTTTATAATGATTCCAAACAATTTGGTTACAGATGGGCGTTACTCATCCAATCACTAAGTTTTTAATAAGATTAATGATATAAAATATAAATAAGTAAGTAAAGAAAAATTATGGGAGATTATAAACAAGAAAAGATATAAATAGGTAGAGGGTAACTGGTCAAAGAAGTTAACTAAGTATCTAAGTATATATGGAATAGATAAGTTAAAAGGATAGTCACAGTATAGATAGTATAAGTAGTATAGATAAGAACAGAAGTAAGATATAAAATATAAGATATAAGATATAAGATATAAAATATAAAAAGAGAAGTGAATATATATAATATATAATATATAAGTAAATATGAATAATATTTAATATATAATATATAATATAGTAGTAGTTAATAGTATAAATAGGATATATAAGATAATAAGTTTAAAGTAGAAGTGAATATATATATATATATACATAGAAAAGTGGATATATATAATATAAAAAAGTGTAAGGCGACTATGGGGATCGAACCCATGACCTTCTGTTTACAAGACAGATGCTCTACCGCTAAGCTAAACCGCCATCACGAGGTATAAAAAGGGGAATAAAAAATCAAGGAAGAAATACATAAGGATAATACATAAGGATGGGCAAAAGGGATAAAGTCTAAGTCTAAGTCTATAATATAAAAAAGATAGATATAATATAAGTACATATAGTGATATAATAATATAGTCATATAGTCATATAGTCATATAATAATATAATAATATAGAGAATAGAGATAGTCAAGTCATATATAAAATATATAAAGATAACATGTAAGATAGAAGTAAAGAAATAGAAGTAATGTAGAGAAGAATAATATAAGTGAAGGAGGTATGGAGTGTATCTAGTATAGACAATAAAGACAATAAAGACAATAAAGACAATAAAGACAATAAAGACAATAAAGACAATAAAGACATAAGACATAAAGATAATAAATATAATAAAGACATATAAATAATATAAATAATATAAATAATATAGATAATATAGATATAATAAATGATAAGAATATATATATAATAATATATAAACATATATAGATAGAGAATATAAAATAAAAAAACTAAAAGAAATAGAATATAATATAATAATAAAAGAAATAGTTCCAATACTATCAATCATATCAACTTGACATCCTTTTCAACCCAGGTCTATCATTCGTAGACAGGTTTTCGTTGCTCCGTTAACCGGCCTCACGCTGTACCCTGTTCGTTACCTTCCGCACTAAATCTACCTACGTAAATTAAGTAATGAAGTACGAAGATATGGGATGGGGTAGTCTCAAATGTTCATAATTATGATAGGATCAATTCTATTTTTTTATAATGATTCCAAACAATTTGGTTACAGATGGGCGTTACTCATCCAATCACTAAGTTTTTAATAAGATTAATGATATAAAATATAAATAAGTAAGTAAAGAAAAATTATGGGAGATTATAAACAAGAAAAGATATAAATAGGTAGAGGGTAACTGGTCAAAGAAGTTAACTAAGTATCTAAGTATATATGGAATAGATAAGTTAAAAGGATAGTCACAGTATAGATAGTATAAGTAGTATAGATATTAACGAATTTAAAATATATTATCTATATTTTATTTTTTATTTTTTATTTTTTCTTATTTGTATTAATTTATTTTTTTTTTTTTCTCTATTTATCAATTACTTTTTTATATTTTTTTAATATTTTTTTTTAATTTTTTCTTTTTCCCTTTTTTCTTATTTTTTATTTATGTTTCAATATTATATTTTTAATTTTTTTTTTTGTTTTTTTTTTATTTTTTATTTTTTTTATTTCATGATTTTGTGTTTCTTTTTATTTTTATAATTTGGTATTTTTTTTTTACTTTTCTCATTTACATTATTATCATTTTTTTATTTTTTTCTTTGTTTTATTTTTTTTATAATTTTCATTGTTATTCATTATATTATTTCTTTATTGTTTTATTTATTTATTTTTCAAGATAGATTCGAAGGTAGCACGTCAAAGACACCACACAGATCCCTAAAATATTTCTATCCCTCGATTCCTCCCAGTCATGGACTGGTTATGACGTTGCGTTTGGTTAGAAAAACATCTTACCCGGTACTGCAAGAATAGCTGTGTTTATTATGTACAATGACAGAATATCATTGACAATAAACGAATGGGTATTTATAAAGATGTTATTATTACTTGTTAGAATACAAGTATATTTGATAATATAAGAAAGATTATCAAAAGAAAAGGATTTAGTTGTTGATTCTAAAAAGAATATTAGCCCATAGCAATACAATGGTAATTATATGTTCTCCTTAAAATAAGAAAATAAAGAAGAATTTTAATATTCATCAAAATCAAATAGAAATTAAATAATGAATATTTAAATAATTGATGTTTAAAATTCTATTCCATATCAAATAAATGAGAAAATAAAATTCTCACAGTTCAACAACTAAAATCAAAGAATGAACTGATAGTTGAAGGACAAATACTTTTAAAAGAAATGGATTAACTAATCTCCACTGAACAATTAACAATGTAAAATATTTCTATTAATACTTAATTATCTATTTTTTATTTATTTCTTCATTTTATTTATTCTTATTCATTATACATATTATTTTATTTATATTATTTCATATTAAATATTCATTTTAAATATAAAATAATAATAAAAATAAAGAAAGAAAAGAATAAATTAAGAATGAATAAAAATGAAAGATAATAGAATAAATGAATTCATAATTATTTATCATTAATTATATCATTCATTGTATTATCATTTATTATAAATATATTGATTATTCATTTATTATTATTATATTTATTATCTTTTATCATATTTTATTATTATATTATTAAATAAAAATAAAATATAAAATGAAATAATGAATAAAATATAAAATAAAATGAAATATTTAATAATTATGAATTTATTAAAAATAAAAATAATTATCATTTTATTTTATTTCTTATTATTTATTGTTTTTCATAACAAATATCAATTAATAAAAATAGAATGATGATAAAAGAATAAAAAAGAAGAAATTAAAATATAAAAATAAAAGAACTAATAAATTAAGAACTAATAAACAATAAATCAAGAATGAAAATAGGATATAATGAAATAATGATTGCATCAATGTATTTTGATGATATTAAAGATTTTATTAATTTAGAAATAGGAATTAAAAGATTTCAAGGAAATATGGAACGATTTCATTTTAATCCAATTCCTTTAAATAATTATTCAAGAAAATTGTTTCCTAATATTGAAACATTTCATATTTATAATGAAAATGATGAAATATTTCATGATGGAAGAATATTTAAAAAAATAATATGGTATAAAGTAAGTTATTCAAAATATTTACAAGAAAAAGAACAAGGAATATGTAAAAATATAGAATATACAAAAGAAGATAGATGGAAATATGGAAATACAATACCATCAGAAGTTAAATCACTTGGAGATGAATGTTTTTATAATGGTTATGAATTAACAACAATGAATATACCATCTTCAATTATTGAAATAGGATATGAATGTTTTTATTATTGTACATCATTAACAACAATTAATATACCATCATCAATTATTAAAATAGGAAATGAATCTTTTAAAGAGTGCAAGTCATTAACATCGATGAATATAGAAAATCTACAATTTATTAGTGAAGAAAGAATATTTATGAATGAACCAGTGTTAATTAGTTGTGAAATACCACATAATCTACAAATAATCAATGGAAAGAATATTGAAAAGAAAGATATTAATGAATTTATTATTCCATCTTCAATTACTAAATTAGGTGATCATTGTTTTTCCAGATGTTCATCATTAAAATCAATTAATATACCATCAAGTGTTAGTAAATTAAGAGATTGGTGTTTTTCTGGATGTTATTCATCAACATCTATTAATATTCCAACATCAATTAATAAAATAGAAGGTTATTGTTTTACTGTATGTACATCATTAAAATCAATTAATATACCTTCATCAATTACTTCATTTGGAAAATCTTGTTTTTATAAATGTGGATGTGAAGATGAATTAAAGAAAAATAAAAGAATACCAAAATATTGTTTTGAATAGTGATAAATGAATAAAAATATAATAAATGAAATACAATATAATTTGAAGTAGAAATAAATTATAATTGATTATCATTTATATTATTATTATTCTTTTATTATTTATTCTTTTTGATATTATTCTTTTTTATTGTGTTAAAATATTTATTATTATTTATTGTATATGTTTATTATTTCTTATATCTTCTATTTTATCATATTTATTTATTATCTTTTATATCTTTATTATTATTTTATTATTGTTTATTATTCTTATATTCTATATTTTAACTTATGATTTTGTATTATTAAATATAAATTAAATGAATTTGATATTATAGATAAATAAATATCAATTTTATTAATCTATTTGTATTTATATAATATAAATATCAATAAAAATAAATTATAAGTTAAATTAAATGAAATATGAATATGAATAATATTAATATGAAATGAAATAATTAAACAATAAGAATATATTTAAAATATAAATATCAAATACATGAATAAAATAAATAATATAAATAATAAAATATAAATCAAAATAAATAAATAAAATAATGAATAATAATCAAATATTAAAACATGAATATGTATGTAAACAAATATATAAACATATATTATTTACATATTTTATTAAAATTGATGAAATTTGATTTTAATATATATCATAAATGTATATTAATATTAATATATTCTTATATTAAATTATTGATTTATTTATTAATATTTAAATAAATGAATAGAATTACTATTTATATTATATTTTATATCATAATGTGTTGATTAAAAAATAAATAAGTATTTTATAAATGAATATATTTCATTTAATTATTTTATTATTATTTCTTATTATCGAATTTTATAATTTCTTATTATTTCTTTCTTATTATTATTATTATTCTCATTTGAAGTAATATTATTGAAATAAATCAATAGAATAAAATGATAATGATGAATAATGATAATAAATAGTAATAAATAGTAATAATAGATAATGAAAAACATAAGAATATAAAAGAAAATATATTTAATGATAAATAAGAAGAATGAAAATAATATAGAAAAGAAATAATAAATTATAAAATGATTTTGTAATTAATTTTAAATTAATATTCAATAAAAATGAATAAGAAGAGAGAATAAATAAAGAAATGATAATAAAGAAATATAAATGATTATAAAAAGAAATTAAATATATGAAGAAAGAAAATAAGAAATAATAACAATGAATTGTTAAATAATATAATAGTTAACAATATGTAATTATTAATTGTTGATTTCTTATTTCTATTATTATAATCAAAATTAAATAATATAGAATGTAAATAAATGATAAATGATATTAATATGAACATAAATAATAAAATAAAAAGAGAAATAAATAATATAAAAGAATATAAATAAGTTTAAAAAAGAGATAATAGAATTAAATAATAAAATAAATGATAAATGAAGAATTTAACTAATTTATTATTCATATTTCATTATAAAATAAATATAATAATAAAAACAAATGATTTTATTTATTATAATAAAATGAAGTTGATATTAAATTAAATTTTAGTTGAATATTTTTATTTTTTTGAAAATAAACAAAAAAGAATAATAGATAATAAAAATAAATAAGAAAAAGAAGAAATATAATAGAATTTAATTCAATAAAAATAAATCATGAAATGAAATTATATAAATAAAATAAAATAATAAATAATATTGATAATAAGAAAAACATAATGAATAAATAAAAATAAACATAAATAACATTATATTATCATTATTATCATTTTATATAATGATTAAAATGATAAATTAAAATAAATTAAAGAAAATAAGAATAAAATAAGAAAAATGAAAATATATAAAAATGAATACAAAGAATAGATGAATAGAAAATAACAGAATGAAATGATTGAATTAATGAATATTGTTTTAAAGATATTCATCATTATAAATAAATTATTAAATAATGAAATATGAGAAGAATGAAATAATGAATATTCAATATTGAAATCAAACAATATATCATATCAATCAAATGAATAGAAAATAAATAATTTAATTGATATTTCATTAACATTTATGAATATCAAATATATCAAAATTGATAATAAAAATAAAATAAATATGAATAAACAAATAATATCAATGTTAAAATATCAGAAAATAACAATGTAAATAATAGAAAGAAGAAAAAGAGATAATAATGATAATATTGAATCATCAATTACAATAAATTGAATATGATAATTTAATAGATGTTGTTTAATATAATCAATTAATATACCATTATCAATTAATAAAATAAGAGATATTTCATTGAATGTACAATATCAACAAATATTAATATCATAATAACAAATAGTAAAATACTAATAATAATAATTAAAATATAAATGAGATGATTTAATTGATGTATATCATTAATATCAAATGATATATAAACAATAATAAGAAATATTTGAAATATTTTAATCAATATTCAAAAGAAAGAAAAAAAGAATAAAATAATAAGAAAAAGAATAAAAAATCATTAATTTAACATTAATAAA